TTGTTCATCGGTCACGAATCACAAAATTTATAAGTCACACAACTTATTTTATGGTCACAGAATATCAAATTATAGGTCACATATTACTTTTATTGGTCACAAATTAATAAATTTGTAGGTCACAAATTATTTCTAGGTCACAGTTTATTATTTATTGGTCCACACCAACCAATTTATTGATCACAATCAACAAATCGTTTGTGACCACCATCAACAAAACACCACTGTCGTCTCCGCCACCAACACCAACACCACATAAACCACAACACCGCGCCAATAAAACCACCATAGAAACGCACCACCAACAGCCACACCACCACCGCCACTTCCCAGCAACAAAATCAACACCAACAACATCACTAACAATACACCATCCTCATAACCTCACCATAGCCACCAACAACCGCGGCGCTGCAGTCACACTAGAACCACCACCATTGCCGCCCGAACCACCAACATAATCGTCGTTGCAACACCACCACTACCACAACAAAAAACCGACGCCTGCACCACCACAACCACCAAAACGCTGCTTTGTCGAAGAGAGAAAAGACAAAGAAGGCAGATCGGAAACACAAACCCTAATTACTCAGCATCTTCGTCGTTCTCAACCACCAACATCGCGATTTTGGGATCAATTACACCAGCAATCTCTTTCTAGGGGGCGGCGCTGCTACCACCTCCACATACATCATAGCAATTTGTATCCGATTGCATCGTCTCTGAAACCGTATGTCGCTGCGGTAGCGAGTGGCGAGATGCTATCGTGGGCGCCTCTTCAGGTATGCCGTCGTGGGTACCTCTTCAGCGATTGGCGAGATGCAGCCGGTTTGAGGGAGAAGAGAGGTGGTGGTGGTGGTGGTGGTCGGTTGGAATGGCGAGAGAGAGAGGAGGCAAGTGAAAAAATTAGGGTTTGATTTTGTGTAGGATTGATTTAAATAAAAAATAATTTAAAAATTATTAATTAAAACTTGATTTATGTATTATTAAAGTTGATTCTTATATAAATGGAGAATTAAACCTCCAGAAAGAACCGATTAAAACCATTAGAATTTTTCGTTTTTACGCTTTGAATTGATATTGTTCAAAGGTTTGAAGTTACATAGT